GTAATAGTATACATGTGATTATATGCTATGAAAATGGAAAATAAAAACTTTCTATGAAAAAAAAAGAAATGTAAGTTAAGTTTATAATGAAACATTTATATTTTCTTTAAATAATTTTTTGGATCATCTAGTCTGATCAAGTTTTCAGCCGATCCCAACAATGATCCTCTGGTAAAAAGAGCAGCAAATGTAACTGTTGACTGTTTCATGATCAAAGTTCAAATGCATGGCAAGCAGCAGGTTTTTATGATGATTGCATTGTCCCGGGATCATGTGATCACCATTTGTGACTTTCCCAGCCGGCTGCCAACAAGCAAAGTTGTGGGAGAAGCTGGATTCACTTAACAACATTGTGATTCACTTAATGAATCAGCAAAAAAAATGAAAAATTGGGCCAACTCATTTAATGACTGACTTCCTTAACAATGGAAATCGGGTCCAAATTGTGATAACAAATTTAAGATTACATTAGTTATATCTAAGATATGAGTTCATTATAAAATGCAGTAATCCTTCTAAGCCATATTCAGATGGCTATTCAGTGATTTATACTTTCTAAAAAAAATCTTAAGATATATGATAAAGTACAAACCTTGAAAAATCATTGTACCCCAGAGTTTTCACTGAGAAAAATAATGGATAAATATTGACAGTCCTGTTTCAAAAGTGTAATAATTTCCTCCATCCTTCTTGCATTGATGTTATTATTTAACAGAAGTTGCCGTTTATTTCAAATGCTCTTTCTTTAAATAGGTAGCCTTACCCATTGAGGATATGCAAAGAATTCATTTGCGTTTTATGTTTAGACATCGGTCATCTCTGGAGTGTAAGTAATCTCTTTTGTTCCTTGGTTTCAACATGCAAAATTAAATAAGTTGGTAAAAACTATTAATACCACATTCTGGGTTATTCAGCTAAAGACAAAGGCGAAAAGAACTTTGCAATGGCCTATGTAAAATTAATGAAGGAGGACGGGACAACTCTGCTTGATGGCGTTCATGAACTGGTGGTTTTAAAGGTACACTCTTACTATTTTATCTTATTGCATTGATTTGGTATTGCTGAATCCAGTGGCAACTTCCTATTAGGCTATCAAAATGTCATAGTGCTCCAAGAAAAATTCCTTTGGCATAATATTCTTTGTCTGAATTTGGTTTGTTGTGTTGCACAGTGTCTAACAAATGTGCAGTTTATGAACTTATTTTTACTCCCAAAGTTCTTTAGACTTCTCTGGCTTATATTTAGAGCACCATAATGTTCCCTTATGCAAATATTTACAAGCCTTCTCCAAAACTCAGTGGCTTACTGTATTTGAATGTTCTCTTAAGTCAGCAGAATAGGTGATGTTTAATAACAGAAATGCTGAGAGCTGAAGAAACCATGGATTTAAGTCTCAGCATGTTGTACAAATCAATACACAAACCATGGTTTACCTTGAGGAAATACAGGATATTGAGAATTTTCTGTTATCTCCTGAAGATGAAGATGACCCTCATGTGGGCTACATATTTAGCTGGTTGATATACTTGGCAAAGAGAATTGATATGGAAGTATAAGAGAAAGGTTCACCTTTGCAGCTGACAGTAGATCAATTTATCTTTTTTGTCTTTTTCTTCCTCTTTTAGTGATTTCTTCCTGTTTTAATACAGCATTGCTTACATAAACAGCTTACAGAGGAAGCATATATATGAACTTTTTAAAAAATATACATATTTTTATTGTTTAAATATAAATATATTGAATATAGAGTGTAAATGTCCTGATATTCCATTTGCCATGAAACAAAGATAAAAACAAAATAACATGTATACTATTTTAAACAGTGCTAGTCACTGGTGGGTTTCAATTTTTTTTAGAACCTGTTCTGTAGGTGTGGCCTGTTTTGTGGGAGTGGCTTGGCAGTCATGTGACCAGGTGGGAGTGGCCAACTTGATGTCACTCACCAGGAGATGTCATGGATTGGGTAAAATGTGGTGAAGTTCACTTAACAAAGCTCTTGCTTAGCAACCAAAATTTTGGGCTCAATTGTAGTCATAAGTCAAGGACTATCTCTGCCTTCCTCTCCATGACAGCCTTGTCCTAGTAAACTATTTCTCCTTTCTGGCAATTTTCCTCTCTGTTAGAGGCACCAAAATAATTCAGACAATGTAAGGTTTCCTGCTGCAGCAGGGGGTTGGACTAGATGACCTCCTTCTATCCTTAAATTGCTTTGCTGTTTTTCTTTCTTTCTGCTAACAAAGAAACCTTCCTGAATCTCATTCCACATGCCTGCCAGATAGAGGTAATGAGATAATGACCCTAGAGAAAGTTTGGCTCCATTCACAAGCCTTTTAGAAACACAAGGCTCATATTGCACAAACCCCAAAACTTCAAAAATACAAAAACATATAACATATAACCATATAACCAATTTGTTCTTTCCTGCACCTTTTCAATTCAAAATTATTAAGATTTGTGGATTTCAACTTCCAGAATTCCACAGCCAGGCATGTTCAGTGCTGATTTAAAATGACAGCATTTGTTTTTCTCCTTTGCGAAAGAAGTTTCCTTCTTTCTTTTTCTTCTCCCTTCCCTTCCTCCCTCCCTCTGTCACTCCCCCCCTCTCTCAAACACACACACACACACACACACACACACACACAAACAGAAGTTGGATTGGACTATCTCTCCTACCCCCTCCCCTCTCTCACTCAGTCTCTCTCTCTCAAACAAACAAACAAACAAACAAACAAACAAACAAAAGATTGAATATCTTTTCCAATGGCTTGAAAGCAGCTCCTCTGCCATCCCCCCCATTCCCCCGCTGCCTTCCCCAAACACCTCCCCCATTCCAAATTCAGCTTGCTGTCTGGGTGGGAAATACCTGGAATGCAATAAAGCCCACCCATTCACCTCCTGCTGGCAGGCTGGGGTGAGAGGAGAGGCAGAGAAGCTGAAGGGGAGTCGTTCAGAGCTTTCCAAAAGAAAGAGGCTGGGGGAAAGTGTGTGTGCTACAGCATGGCTCTTTGCCTGGCTTCCTGCCTCCTCCTGTGGTCTCCTCAGTGCTCACTTGTGCTCTCCCTCCTCAAGTGTAGTTTGATTGCAGGCAGAGCCACATTGCCTTTTCAAACTTGTAATCAGTGAAGCTGGGCTGGATTTTTATATAGTTTTATTCAGGTGGGTGGGGAGGGGGGGGGGGGGAGAAATGGATGGGGGCCTGGGGAGGAAGTCACTTGGGGAGGGAGAGCATGAGAGCATGAGCGAGCACTGAGGAGACCACAGGAGAAGGCAGGAAGCCAGGCAAAGAGCCATATAGCACACATACTTTGCCCCAGCCCCGGAAGGATCCACTATGTAAAAAATCCAGCCCAGCTTCACTGATTACAGGTTTGAAAAGGCAATGTGGCTCCACCTGCAATCAAACTACATTTGGGAGGGAGAGCACAAGCGAGCTAGGGTCTTATCTTCAGCCTTTGCCCAAAGCCCCACACAGCACCAGGAAGATGAAGTTTGAATTCCTTCCCCTCCCTCCGACCCACACATACCTTTTCCAGCTGCTTCAGAGAGTATTTCAACTCTGCTCTTGCCTTGGGTCCTCTGAAGAAGTCCTGCCCTCACTTTCTTCTCTTTGAGAAGCGCCTTGAAAATTGGCTGTAGGGCAGGGATACTGGTATGGGGGTGTGGCCACACCTCCATGGAATGGGTACACAAAAGAACTGCAAATTTCTGGAACTGGTACACTCGAAGAGGTGCAAATCAGCAGGAACCCACCTCTGGTGCTAGTGTACAGTAATTTCTGACCATCATATTCTAGTATGTTAACTTATATATCATTCACTAATTTATACATAGTATCTCTTTCCATGTCCACCTAACCTGATTCTTTCGCATTCCAACTTCTACCTCATGTTTCTAACCATTGATAGAATCTATTCTATGTAGCATAGTATTCTGTATCTCCTATATCTTTTATTTCTAGCATTAGACTGTCCATTTCCGCACAGACTAGTATCTTCCTATGCTTGCATACAGGATTTATTTAGTTATTTATAGACTATTATATGCAGAGTCCACAAAAATAAAAATCACATAATTTATTTAAAATGCTTATTGGATACCCAACTCAAAACCAGAAATCCAGGTGGCTCATAATTATAGTATTAAAAACAACAATTATACATAAAAAGCAAAAAGAGATAAAAACAAAAATAAGAAAACACAAAAGTTGGATTGGATATCTTTTCCAATGGCTTGAAAGCAGCTCCTCTTTGATTCCTTTGATGCAACCACAACACTCTTTTTCAACTCTGGCTTCATCCTATTTCAATATTTGGGAGAAAAGGCACCTTTTTACAGCCTTCCAGAAAGTTAAAATTGTAGGGATCTCAAGGGGAAAGATCTTCCACAGGGTATTCCATTAGAGGCCTTAATTATAGGAATAGGAAACCTACCGGTATTTTTATTTTGAAAAAAAGTAATCATGGCAAAATAGTTTTGTTGAGTCTAAACTCTAAAGATGGGATTTAAACCACTGGCTTTGATTTCTCCCTCTATGAGAAGTTAATTCAGAGTGCAAAACTTCATCCAATGGCTTGGTATGAGAGATTGAATTTGTTTCTGTAACAGGCAACCATATGCAAGGTAGGTGCAAACACTGCAGCTGACATTTATTCTTGGGGGGAAAAGATCCAGCTATCCTCAACACACAACTAGCAATTAGCTCCATTTTCTGATGTTTGCATCATTTATCCTCTCAGAGGAACTACAACTATCGTGCCTATGGCTTCAGTGGTTTGGCAACTGATTGCTTTCTATTGAATACTCTTGACACACCATGTAAAAAAAAAGGAAGATGTGTTTCACTTTGAGCGAAGTGTTGTCCAGTTTCTGCGTGTCACCACCGAGCTTCTAGGCTGTGCTGAATCAGCTCTTTGCTTTTGACTGACTTTTCTTTGAAGCAAAATGCCCTGCCTTGATGCTTTTAATAGAGGGCGTAAAGGCAGAACCTGCTGAGGCATTTATTTGAAGTAGCTTACTCCAGCAGCTGGAGTGGAGTCAACCATACTAAGTGAAACATTGCTGCTCCACATAGCCCTAGAGTCTATGGCAAATTATTGCCCATAAACACGCATGTAAGCAGAGTGGTTTGGCTTTGGAAATAATTTATTAATGGGCATATTCACAGTTTCCTTGGAGAGAAGGAAATTTACTTGGGGGGAAGCAGAGCCCACAACAGTGATATATCTTTTATTTAATGACCAGTTTGGATTATCGCTCTGAGCTATGGTTAAAGAGGGATCAAAAAAAGGAACATGCTAATACTGTACTATTTACATTTTCTGCCTTTTGATTCTCTTGTCCATTTTTAAGTGTGATCCTGGCATTAAAGGCCAATTTGGGCATTTTAAAAGAAAGTGGTAACTTAGATTAATTAATTGCTTTACCTTAACCTACACAGCGTGACTTTATTTTATGATTGCTTAATCCCTTTTCTATGACAGGCTTACTTTGAGTCAAATGAAGAATAGATATGCCAGTGGAATAGTTTAATGTGTGGTCTTTCATTTAACCTGGTTGTAATGTCTTTAGGCCTTTAACAGCTAATAACCTTGCGGTTTCTCACTTTTTTCAGAGTACTTCCACTTCAATATAGCAAAACACTGAAAATCCATTACAGCAAAGCCCCTGTATCTACATACCTTGAGTAGGATAAAATGTATAGTTTTATTTATTTAAATCATTTGTATGGAGCCCGTTTCTCAACAGTGATGCTGGGCAACCTGATGTAGAGGGAATTTCAATCATCCAAATGGAATGCAATATGAGTTACCATGAGCAGATTCTCCTGATCCAGAAAGAAGCATAATTAGTGTATAAACTGAACTTGCACAAAGTGAGCCCCACCATCCCCAGCTACAGCAGCCACCTGTTCTTCAAGCAGAGCTATAAATCGAGGAAGACACAGAGAGAGAGAGAGAGAGAGAGAGAGAGAGAGAGAGAGAGAGAGAGAGAGAGAGAGAGAGAGAGAGAGAGAGAGAGAGAGAGAGAGAGAGAGAGAGAGAGAGAGATTTTGATTTGGAAAGTGCACACCCAAGAAGAATTAGGGATAGAACTATGGCAGGGGGTGGAATTAAAATCCACTGCTACCAAGTTTTGCCAGGGTTGAAACAAAGGCTACTGTTCCAATATGTGCAAGGGCTTGTGTACTTTCACTTTCTTTATCAACTGCAGACCTATGCTTGCTCATGTCTCATTTGAGATTCTTTGACATGTGGCTTAGCATGTAAAAATGTGTGGTATTGTGAAAGCAGGAGTTTGTATTGCAAGAGTACAGCAAAATCATAGAAGTTCTGCTTAATATCATCTGAAGTCGGTGAATCTAATTAATGTTTTGTTTTCAAGGGTGATAGTAAGAAAATGGAAGATGTCAACATGTACTTGAGCCTCCCTTCAACACGCAGTCAGGTAGAGCCTAAGCTCTCAACCTTAAGTCGGAGTGCAAGCATTGTCGGAGGACTCTCTATAAGCTCAAGAGATTCATTTGCCATTTCAACTCTTGTTTGCTCAACTAAGCTAACTCAGAATGGTAAAAAAAAACAACTTAACTATTCTATATTATACTTCAAAGATATTATCTGTCTTTTTGTACTTGAATATATTCCTCCTCTTTTCTGTAGTGGGTTTACTGGGCCTTTTGAAGTGGCGAATGAAACCTGAGCTCTTGAAGGAAAACTTAGAAAAATTGAAGATCGTGGATGGTGAAGAAATTGTGAAGGTAGATCTTCTTTCAGCCAGGGCTTTCTATGAAAACAAATGCTATAAATCAGCAGGAAAGTTTTACAATTTTCTTGATTGTAACTTTGATTCGTAAGGGTTGTCATTTTTATGCACGACATGAAGTATTGCTCTTCTTCAAATATTATTGTATCACAGTCTGGTGAAAACTTCGAGATACTTGTGTGTATTTATTGTTTTCTGTAGGTGCAAGAACTGAATACATGATAAAGATTTTCAGAGGTGGTTTCATTGTTAGTTGAGAAAAAAAGGCTACTTCAGGCAGCAAATGTGGAATAAGTTGAATTATATGGGGGTTTCTGTCCTATCATGCCCAAGTATCCACTTTCAAGTTTAGTGGAGAAGATGCCTGTTCATCAGTATCAGATTTAAGAATTAAAGCCATATTTTTTTATGTACTATGCATAGGATAAATATCTTAGCACTATTTCTTCTTAATCTTGTCTAAGACTAAGATAGATTATCCCACATCCCAAAATTGTTTTCAATTGCAACCAAATGCTCTTCCTTTTGTGACTGCAGTGTTGAGTCTAGGGACTGGAAAATTCTGTACCTTTTGATAGAATGGATAGAGATCTATCTATCTATCTATCTATCTATCTATCTATCTATCTATCTATCTATCTATCTATCTATCTATCNATCTATCTATCTATCTATCTATCTATCTATCTATCTATCTATCTATCTATCTATCTATCTATCTATCCATCCATCCATCCATCCATTTATTTATGAGAGAAAGAGAAATTATATACATTCTTCTTTGTTGTTCATGTCTTTCTCTTTCCTTGTTTTTGTCTGCCTTTTATTCTGTTTTGGGAAAGTTTTTTTAATACGTTTGTTGATTATTGAAGTAAATCTCTAGCTATAATTTTGTAAATATATCGAATGGTGCATGTGCTTGCTCTAATATAAATAAATGTATGGATTTGTTGGAAGTATGCTGAATGCCAGCTAATGTGGAAATTACTCACAATAATTTCCCAACACATCTGAGGGAGCAAAATGCCATTACCTGACCTAAGGATTATAAATATTATTCCCAAAACACACTGGACTGGTTTGAAAAACATGGTTTATTCAATATATTGCAACAATATATTGTATACTGGTTCTTACAATAAGCCATGATAATTAAATGTCAGTTATCTCATTACCACAATACACTAAGCTAAAACCAAAGAAAATATGTTGTGAAATAACAAGTTGTATAAACCCAACCACTGTGTTGTCCCTTGCTTCCTCATTAAATAATGAAGTTACATTTCCCAAATTATTTCCAAAATTCATACAAGCAATACTAGAACTACCACTTAGAAACTGAGGTGACCATGGAGCAGTCGCTTTCTCTCAGCCCTAGAAAGGAGACAATGGCAAACCACTTCTGAGAAGACCCTTGCCAAGAAAAGTGCCAGGACTTTTTTTCTGAGAATAGTACAGAATCATTGAATGGAAAAAAAACGCCACCTTTCTTGTTATTTATGTATTTATATTTCATATTTCTAAACTGCCCATCTCTCTCAAAGAGGGGCTCTTACATAGCTTGGGAGAAATAGCAGTAAACAGTACGAGATGCCCCCATTCAGTTTTGGCAGGGTAGGAATTGAGAGGGAGGGGGAGGGAGGGAGAGAGAGAGGGGGGAATTAATTACACACTTCTATTAAGAGTGAATTCCTACTTCCCTCTTTCAAGAAAGTGTTCCTGTTTGTGTTTGGTTTAACCAGGTTTAACCATGATTAATGAATCCAACCAGTCTTTCTTTCCTTCTTTCTTTCCATTCTTGCAAACTCTGGACAGTGACATCTTTGTAACTAATTTTACTTCTGTTCTCACGAAACTTCATTTTTTCTAGGCCTTATCCATCTTTACAAATCATAGTTATAATGCGAATATAGTCAGAATTCTGAGTTTGATGTGTTTCCTTGTAATGTAATATGAAAATACTGGCCTAAAACATTTTCAAGAGAGTTTTTGAAGGTGGGAACTATATTTCAGCAAGGCCCCACAGCATATGAAAAGGCAGCAGACCAAATTGTGAAGGGGAAAGTAATCAGTAATGCTAGAAAAGGTTCTATTAATTCCACTAGATTCTCCCACCATGCTTTCAATCAACTAAAAAAAAAAAAAAACCACTGACGAGCCATCTGCCTGCCAGCATGTGAAATTTTTCCAAAACTAGGAACAGCAAGGGGCAATTATTTAAATTACCATGTATAAATTCATAGCTATGGCATGAATATTTTTGAAAGAGTGGAGGGGTCTTATTCAATGGATAGGAAAATGCCTGTAAATATAGGCTTGCTTTTTGTGTCTGGTACCTCGAATTTATCACCTAAGACTTTAGATAAATTTGGCCTGCTTATTAACCTCTAAGGTTTTTTTTTTTTTTACAGTTTCTAGGAGATTTTTAGTTTTAATGTTAATGCTGATTCTGTTTTTCAATATGAAGTACTTGAATCCAGGAATATTAACTTGCATTTTAACAATTGGAATTCACTGTGAACGATTATAGCTCAGAGCACTTTAACTGTGAGTTCCTTTTGGCTTTATATTATGAGAAGGTGGAAGAAAGAGAGCAGTACATCTATATTGGTTTAGGTTTAGGTTAAGGAATGTATGGTATTTATCATTGGACAGTAAATGAGGGATAAGACATATTTTCCCATTCTATGTTCCAATCACAATGTTCTCTTAACTCTCCCTTGCCCCCTTTCTTTTTGGTATTGTTACAGAATGTCAAATAGACTAATAAATGGATAGAGAATAAGAGACTAGTCTAACTTTTATTACCAAGATTGGATTGGCTGAGCTAGATGCAATATATTTCTCTTAACTGTTATCTGTTGGATCTTTGCAATTGATCAAATGAAATAGACATGACTTTTTCTACTGCTTGCTTTATGAAACTTCTAAAAAACTGAATTCAGTGAGTCTGGAAGAGTTACAACACACACCCACACAGACATCCCAAAGGTAATAGAGTAGCATTGCAAGATCACAAGTTGGTTTAAATAAGAACACCAACAACCCAGAACTCTATAGTATTTACCTGCTTACTCAATTTAGCATTAACCAAGACAGAACTTTTATAAAACTGCATAATCCAGTGTAGATAACTTGCCTTGTAAAGTCATATATCAGAACATTTATATCTCATGCTGGGCAATATAACCACAACTATCCAGATACATTCTGTTGTGAGATGTATACTTTAAGAATGAATGATTTTGCAATTTTCTTACTCCAACATATATTGCTTCTCCATGCTAAGTATTGTTTCCCAATGCCTTCAGGCTGAATTAGGCCCCCCAATTATTGCAAGTGAAGCTTATGTGATTAAACTTGATTTATTAAACTGGAAAATGAGCCATACTTTACCTCAAAAGGGCCACCTGGGTGCTCCTTGTCCTCCTCATTTTGAGCACCATTTTCCCAGTAAAGAAAGTAACCATGTGCAAAATACTGTTTGGAGAAGCAGTAGCACTAATGCGATAAAGCAAACATAACTCATTTTCTCTTGATCAGAAGCTTCACGTAAGTATTCTTTGGGGACATTCACCTTGATTAAAGTAGAATCAGTGAGCTGCTGCTTAAGCATTCCCCAAACTTATAAAAATGCTGGGCATGCCCATTTGTAACAATCACAGATCCCCTGATTCAAGACTTTATTCTTTAATGCATGATTAACTCATAGTAAGCACAATATCAAGGCCGGGTGGAAAGACAGCTTGCCTTTGTACAAATAAAACAAAACAAACAAACAAACAAACAGAGAAAATATTCTCATGGTTGCAAGGATAATAAAAGCCATTCAGTGATCATTCCCTTCTCTGTTACACGAATATCATAGCTTTGTTAGGAAAATATTTGAGTCAGTGGTAAAATCTGTCATTGTCATGGTTGAGTTCTTTCTATGAAATTGAAGCAAAAGTTATAATTCTGCAAAGAGTTTAAACATTCAGGCTCTTAATGGACAGTCCTTTGCAAAGAGGAGGAACTGCATGATCACCAAGGAACAGAACAAGGTGATTGATCTCTGTTTTTCTTTATGCGGTCTGCCAGATGACAACAAACTAAATTGGGCCAGATTATTCTACAATGGCTCTTATATTTGTGCACTTAAATGCTTATTTCTGACCCTACACATTAATATGTCAAACATTTAATATTTTAATGAATGTTTAGAAATATTAAGTAGTATAAGTACTTTTGTTTAGGTAGCAAGTTTGGACTTCATATATTACTCACAATGTCTTTTAAACAAACATCAATTTACCTCTTAATCATCATCATGTCTCAAGGCCTTCTTGAGCAATTAACAGGCAGTTTCCAAGGTTCATAGACTCAACAGATCATGGAGTTGAACAAGATCTTAGAGGCCACCTATTTTAATCCCCTGCTCAGTGCAGGATCCATGACAATATTTTTTGACAAATGACCATCCAGCCCCTTAAAATTTCCACAAAGGACAACTTAATTTCTTTGTGGCAGCTGTCCCAAGGATTGAACGCTGTTTTATGCAGGAATTTTCTGCTATCACTCCTAATCATGCTTCTTTGGAGTTGTAACCCATTGGTTTGGGTTCTGGCCTCTCGGGTAATAGAGAATAAATCAATTCATTCTTTTGTTTTCAGATATTTGGTGACTGCTTTCATATCTCCACCAGCCACATTCATCTGTTTTGTAGGCTAAACGTATCAACAGCTTTTATTGTTGCTAAGAAGTTTTGGTTTCCAGACTTCTTAATCTCTTGGTAGCTTTCCCCCAAATGTGGTTGACTTCTCCTTTTAGAACAACCTAATTTAATTAAGTTTTAAGTAACCTCCATCTTCTATATATTGGGATGAGTCCCCAAGCTAGTGCTGACCAGATAAATATTCTGCAGTTGCCATAAACCACACAATATGGTGTAGTGTAGTGTAGTGTAGTGTAGTGTAGTGTAGTGTAGTCTAGGATAGGATAGGATAGGATAGGCTAGGCTAGGCTAGGCTAGGCTAGGCTAGGATAGGATAGGATAGGATAGGATAGGATAAATCTTTATTATGGTCAAAGACCAGCAATAACCACACTTCCTAGGAATTTTATAAAAAGAAAATCCTGCTAGATCAACAACCCACTTTATCCAGCTTTCAGTGGCACAAAATGGTCGAACAGGTGCAACCAAGAAGTTCATAAGGAGAAGAATATCCTATACCCCAGTGTTCCCACCACTAATGTTTAATCTTTATTCTATAGGTAGCAAAAGGTCAACAGGATTGACAGTGACAGATTGATCGCTCATGACTTTCTCTTGTTTAAGAAGTCATTCACACTGACAGCCATTTTTTTCTGAATTTGGTTCATTTGTCACTGTCCTTTATAAGGACAGTGCTATTTTTTCCAGTTATGGAATTAAAATTAACCAGTTAAGATATAAATCCAAATTATTTTCGGTTTTTCTAAACATCCTACTTATTTGGCCATTGATTTCAATGGAAAGACAAGTAACTATTCTGCTTGGAACACTCACAGCATTTGAAAAAGGCAATGGGTATATTAAAGTTCCTAAGCAGTACAAATGACACCTGTTTTTCCCATGCAGAATATTCAAGTGGACCCAGGATGTATAGTAGAATAAAACACCTGTTCCCCATCATAGATTCCCAGATATTATCAGATTTAAATTAAATCACATGCACCCATTGAGGTGGGAAACAGTGGGATAATGATGAATGGCATCAAACAAATTTGTCCCTTCCATTGAAGCTTCTTATAACCAGAAGAAGAAAACAGCTGAAGGATAAAGGGATGCTCATTTTATTTTCATTTTTCTTTCTCTATTTGGCTAGGAATATGGATAATGGTGTAGAATACAGACAGAAAGATGAGAGAGTGATTTATCGTTTCCTATTGTTGTGTTTCAAGGGGTATTTCCTCCCCTTCCATTCAATCACCTCTGATTCTCTGAGATTGTTTAGACAAGTCCCCGCAGTTTTCCTGCCAAAGTTTTTCAGAAACGGTTTGCTATTGTCTCTTTCTTAGAACAGAAAGAAAGTAACTTGACCAAGATTACACAGCTGGCTTCATGCCTAAGGCAGAACTAGAACTCCCAGTCGGCTATTTTCTAGCCTGATGCCTTAACCATCGCACCAAACTGACAAAATAGTTGGTTATAAAATCCATCCACTTTGGGTAGGGAACAGTATAACTGAACATTCAGTTACTCACTGTTAAAAACAACTGCTGTGGGCTTTAGAATGTTAAGGAGACATGCTGTAGTCTCCTTTTGACAATTCACAGCTAAGATGCTAAACTTAGCATTAAATACAACATAATAATCATAGCTGTGCTTGTTGGACTTAAATGTGTGCTCTGATGAAAATAAATCTTCAAAGACGCTGTGAAGCTCCAGGTGACAGGGCTATCAGGATGAATTCTTTGAGGTGTGAAACACTTTCCCTGGGGCTAGGTGGGATGTTTTCCGCTTAGACAAATCAAAATATTTTTCAAAGAATTTTTATCCTGTCATATTACCAAACCTATTAACATATTTGCTTGTTCTTTTCATTCTCTCTCTCCCTTTCTGTAGTTCCTCCAGGATACTTTAGATGCCCTATTTAATATCATGATGGAACATTCTCATACTGATGCATATGACATTCTTGTCTTTGATGCTTTGGTAAGGATTACTGTATCAACTCTTTCAATCAAATAAGCTCTTTTCTAGCATTCTGCATTTTTTTAAAGAAACAAGTCACAAGAGAGAATGATGCCACCAAAGTGAGCATGATGGCTTCACTTCTCATCCATGCTATAATTAGCCTCCTTGCATTGAGGGTAAACTATCCAGGAAGCCTCACTTCATTATGTGCAACTAGAAACATCAGAGTTATCTATTTCAGGAGATGGTTACTAAATAAGTCCATATTGGAGTCTCATGTGTTTATATATTAATCATTTGTTAGATAGAATCTCACGTGTTCTCCATGGTCTAATTTTTTCCCATCTGAATCTGAAAAATCCACATCTTTGTTTCCAGCTTCTCCAAATATTTGGAATTTTGCAATGCAACTTTCCTCAATGTGCTTATTTTGCATACATTCCATAATATATTTTACAGAATGAAATAAATACATGCAATTTTCTTAGTAAGTTTAAACCTATATGTGTTTAAACTGCAAGTACTTCTTTATGACATATTTGAATGTTTGCTTCTCAAATAAAGGTTCAGTTTTGTACTGATCGTAGCAAGTCCATACACTTTTGTGTGAATTTTGGACTGGGAACTGAAAAAATGGCAGCATATTTAATTCATTGCAATATATAGCTTTTCCTATATCTGTGTTGGAAATTGCATTTATCCATTTCCTCTGCAGGCTGGGTGGACTTACTTTACATTCCTATCTATTGAGCCCCAACCAACATAAGTAGCTTTCCTTCTCACAATTTTCAGCTTGCTATGGTCCAAAATCAAGATGGCAGCCACAAGAGTGTAATCAAAGCTCCACCTGTTTTTTTATTCAGCAGAACTCACAGTCTCTTGTTTCTTTCTTCATTTCTTGCATGAAAATATCTGCACTTATCTTTTCCAAGTGCTTTGCCAAAGCAAGCAATCTGGAATAGGAAGAATTAATTAGACACTAAATTAATTAGACACTAAATTAATTAGACACTAAAATGTCACCAATATTCTGAATTCAGTGAAGTCCATAAAGAAGAATCCTCTCTACCCTCTTTCTTTAAAAAAACATTTCCAAGTGATATTTTACATATAAAGCTATTATTCTGTTACAGATTTATGTAATAGGACTCATTGCAGATAGAAAATTTCAGCATTTCAATACTGTACTGGAGGCTTACATACAGCAACATTTCAGTGCAACTTTAGCCTACAAGTAAGTATATAACAATCCTGATGGGGAACTCAATATGGGAAGCCACTAAATCACATTCTATCCTACTGTTTGATGCATGTAGAAGAGAAAGGAACAAGAGGATGGGTCTCACTTCTTCTATATTGATTGTCCATGAATTATTCTGATCCTGGCAAAAATATTCTCCGTGCAACAAAAAACTAGAAATGTATTTATAGTGGTCCTATGCAAATTGTTTGGCTCAATTAGTTCCCAACTCTATTCTGTACTTCTAACATAATATTATTCTGTGCAATAATTATGGCTGCCCTCCAGAATTATCTTGTATGAAAGATAGAAATAATAATGTTGAATAGTTGTGCTGTGGTTTTTTTCCCCTCAGGGGAAGTGTTTTAAACCCTGCATTTGAATTACAAAACAAAAAATAATCTGCCATGTTAGACAGCATGTAATATATATATTTGCCACTCAAACTACTTAGAAATCTAATTTGATAAAGATGGTTTTCCATTTGTGTAACACGTTCTCCTGATTTCAGGAAATTAATGGCAGTTCTGAAGACTTATTTGGATACTTCAAGCAGAGGAGAACAGTGTGAACCTATATTAAGAACGCTTAAAGCTCTGGAATATGTATTCAAGTTCATAGTTCGGTCAAGGACTTTGTTCTCTCAGTAAGTATTTGATTTACATTTCTTCTTAGGCATAACATCTCCACTCAGGTATAGCATAATTTTCTTCAATTTGATATGTCCCAGATAGTAATTCTTAAAGTTCCAACCTGCACATTTTGTTTTGCCAATTTTGGCTGTATGAAACTGATGGCCATGGTGGCTCAGAGGTTTGGGAATTTTAGATTTTAACACTTAGAAAGTACTGGGAGAGAATGATTTTCTGCTAACAGTTTGGCTAAGTATATTATCAACGAGAATGATAGGTATGTCAGGCTCTTGAGCAGGGCTGGTATGCTGGCAACTTTATGAACCCATTGATCATTTTTTCAATTTTTCAGTGTAGCATTGGAATTTTCTCATAGTCTCCTGTCCAAATCTAGCCTATTTTTTTTTAAAGATTAGCAGGTTAAGGATTATCATGCATGTGTACTAGGTGGCTGCTCTTCCGGTTTCCGGCTGTTTCAACACTCGGTGCTGAAAAGGTTGTCAACACTGCTCTAGGCTCGATGGTGAGATTCCTTGGCAGGAAGATCTACTGGGAATTAGCTGTTATACTGAAGACTCTGGCTTGTGCAGTCAGCTGGCTAGGTCTGAATAGAGATTGGGAACCTGGACAGAGTATAATACTAGAACAGCTAGAAATGTTATGAATGATATAGTAAACTTATATGTGCAAGGTCAGTGAGCTTCTATTTTCAAGCAGCTCCATAGGCAGATATGAGTTGGTTGTAGGTGTGATTGAAATATCACAAACCTCTTTCAGTCATGATCAGTTTGAAGCCTGTTGGAGGAACAATACAAAACAAATACATCTACTCATGCTGGTCTCTAGCACTCACTTATTAACCACTGTTTTTAGAGTTTCAGTATTCATGATGGAGATAGAAATCAACATGTGTTCAGGCGTTTTTGCTATAACCCCCTGAAACTGCATGGTAGTTTATGGCAGTTGTGATTTAACATCGTTGGAAGATACCAAATAGTTTGGTACTGTTATAGATTAATTAGTTAGAGAGCTTAGCATGTTGACTCAGAATTATGTCCCTCTGCATCCAATGATACTTGTGGCCAGGTTAGTGTCCAAATGTGCAATTTTTTACTCATTGAACTAATTTGGACCTATATTTTTGGATTGAATTGTTACAATAAATTGGAAGATCAAATTGATCTGGTTACAACATAAATTCAAAATGATAACTATTTTTACCTACTGACATACTTTCTACTTTGCTGCTTCTGACTTCCTCCCTTTCTAAGTGTTTTATAGAGAGATATTGTCCAATTAGCTGTGTGCACTGTGCAACCATGGATCCTCTGAAATAGATGTATAGATTCTAGTAAATTACTTTAAAATTGTGATCATTGAATTGCAATATGTTAGACCAGAAAAAAGGTGCAATTGCGTATTGAACTTGCTTTGTATTTGAAATGTATTTGGTGAGAAGCATTTCTTGATATGCTGCAAAATATACGTATTTTTCTTTCAAGATTCTGTCCAGTGCTCCGATATTTAAGATTTCTAAATCTTACATCGCTAGAAAAGTAGATGAATGTAAATGGCAAGGCAGAATGGTTCTTCTTATCAGAAAATAGTTCAAAGACCATGAATAAAGTACAGTTATTAGGGTATGAAATTTGTCGAGCAAGATCTCATATTGATTGGAATAGTTCTAATAAAACAAGATGTCTGGGAGACAGTCCATAAAGCAAGGCAAGCAGTTTGTTCAGGCAATGGGTACCATTTTGCAATATGATGTGATTGCATAGACAGCAAAAATAAAAATATTTTTAAATCACAAAATAGGCGCACATCTTGAAAGATCTCAATTCACCATGATCTGCCCACCCGCCCATCCGCCCATCCGCCCATCCACCCGTCCACCCGTCCATCCATCCATCCATCCATCCATCCATCCATCCATCCATCCATCCATCCATCCATCCATCCATCCATCCATCCATCCATCCATCCATCCATCCATCCATCCATCTATCTTTCTATTTTTACTTAATGTTGGGATTCCATAGTGCCATCTTGGATGCTGCAGATATTAATTTATGGCCTTCTGATTTGTACTATTAGATAATGAAATCAAAGGCTCCACTTCTTTCCTTAAGCACATTATTTTGACTTACACCATACTGTAAACTGCTTCTGACAAGCTTCAGATCTTCAAATACCTTCAAATTCTCTCTTGATGTCAAATAAAAAAGCAAAGGGCAGCTTGCAATGTCGGCCATACAATTCTCTGATTCTGAGCCATATTAATATGAACTATTTCAGAGAACCAACCCAATTAAATGTTGAAGATGTTTTGAAATCTCTAAAGGGTGTACTATCCAGGATGAAGGTGCACTCAATATCTGATTGATTAAACAGACTAATTGGATAGATACTGCATTTACCAGGAAAAATAAATTCAGTTGTTTTATACTGGAAATACTTGCAAAAGAGCAAAGACAATTTCTAACCTATATAAAAATTTGGAAGCAATATAAGTAGACATTGAGATGGTACACCAAGAGCACCACACTAAGCAGCAATTTGCTGCCTGGATGGAAGTTTTCAATCCTTATTAAAATCCACAGAGGTCCTAATAACATTTGAAAAAGAGCAAGAGAGAAATTCAGCACACCATTTTAATACCGTATAGCAATCTCTCCTTACTATAATTGTGTTCCTCTGAATAAACACATTACAGTTGTCAATGGGCCCAGAGAGGAGAAAGGAGTCTGAGAATCCAATCAAATGTGCAATCAACTTGTATATTCATTTCAAGTCCTCGCCTTTGATTTGGGATCATGGAAGCCTTTAGATATATGCTTTGTACGTAATACTTTTAAAGCAGAGATTCTTTTTTTTTGAATGTGCACTTTTATAAATAAGTCCAATGAAGTTTAGCATATAAAGCACCTTCCAACTCTACAGTGGTGATTACTACTATGAAATCGCACAATTACGTTTTCTGTCTCTGAAGAGCTGTATTTAGAGTGAAGGTTTTTGATGGGAACCCTTTTAGCTAGGCTGGGAATTCTCCATTTAGACATATTTCCAACATATCCTTCCATTTCTTTTCTCCACCATAGTGCAAAAATCTTGAAATACCTTCTCTGGAGGTTTGCATTATAATTTCTGTTTATATGTCTTTTCTTGTGGTTCCCTCTCCCACTATCATAGTGTTTCATTGTTTTCTTTTTCTGTGTTCATTTTTTCTTCTCCTCCTGACGTATGCTTTCTGAGAAGGCAACTTTCATTACCGTGATTGCTTCATCTGAAAAAGTTAATTATCTGACTTCTCCTCACATAGGCTTGATTTCCAACATAGCAAATTTTCATTCATACCACACACACACACACACACACACACACACACACACACACACACACACACACACACACACAC